ATCTCTGAGACCCACATACTGGCCAGTATGACCGAGTTCATGTAACATTCATTGTCATGATTAGCTAGGGCAAGTTTGCATATTTGCTGCAAAGTGGCCGACGCCTCAGCTCCTGCGCAATGGTCTGCGCTAGGGCGGACCTCTGACGGCGCTCCCTCCGAAGAGTTGTGGCCACCAGTTGGAGCGATGCACTCCCCGATAGGGCTTCCATGATTGACCAGAAGCGGAACGCCTTCGGCTCGCGAAGGCCCACTGTTAAGCTGAACGTTACTGTGGGTCCTGTCATGTGCTCCGCAAGCTGCCTGGTCGGGTGGAAGTTGACGATTACTCCATCCACTATGCTGAGCACAATGGTCTCGTCGAGGAGGGAGAGAACCTCCTGTAGACTCAGCGGAGCGATTGTGGTCACCTCCTGCAGAGCTTGCGTCTCCCGATTCCACCTGACAAACTTGAAGTGACCGGATTCGGTGAGGATGCCCCTGCGGATCGCTTCCTGGCTCTTGTCCTGGTCCGTTTCCAGCTCGTGCACACGTTTGCGAAACTCGTTGGCCCATGTTTGGTACAAGATGACCCTCATCGGCTGTTGTAGGCTCGCCGGGTCCTCGGCCTTCATGCGATGCCACTCGGTGCCGATCTGGTGAAGAAGCGGTAGTGTTGTCCGTGGTGGCGCTGTTCCTAGAAACATGATCCTGTCGACGTCTGCATTCCATTCCAGAAGTTGTCGTGCAGGAGTAGCAACTGAGCCATGTGTTCCACCAGGCTGTCGCTGGCAGAAACTCTGGAGCGTGGGTTGCCTGAGTGGCTTGCTTGGGCATTGCTCGGCTGTCCTGTGAATTGGAGTCTGCTCCGTCCCCGTTGTGTTGGCTGCTGGCTCCCTCCCGTTGTGTCGGAGGTATGACCTTTCCCCGCATCCGTCCCTTTGCCGTTGTTGGTTTTGGGGTACTTGGGCTGAGGCGGGAACTGGCTGGGTCGTGGCAGTTGGCGTGACTCCGAGTGTCTCTGCGGGTTCTGAACCTCCAGCATGCTCGGAGGGGGGGGGGGGGGCTTTGCGCTGTGGACACCTGGGGTGCTGCCTGAGCCGGCCCGAAGAAGGTGTGACCCTGAATCGCCATTGTCTGGATATGCTGCAGCTCCGCCGCCGCTTCCAGAAGCTCGTCCCTTGATACACCCTCCAAGTCCATCCTGCAAGGGCGGCGGCGACTTCGGGTCCCTCGGGTTGGTAGGCGCCCAAAGTGCTGTTAGAAACTTAGCAAGCAGAATGCTGGGACACTCGGCTGCATGCTTAGTTTGATGACACTTGAAGGCCTTTCCACAATAACGGCAAGGGGAGCAGAGCACAAGCTGTCTACGTTGACTTTGAGCAGAACTGCGGGAATGCTCCAACGCAGAGTACGCCCAGGGGTGGAAGGCCTTCACATGCTGTGTTACACCCCTAAAGCGAACCAGCCACTGATTGCAGATGGGACAGTATTGACTGAGTTGTGGACCCAGGGTTTTCAAATATGCACTGACTTTTTCCCAGCCCTGAAGGGCAAGTGGCGTAGCCTGACCATCCCGAAACACAGCCGGACTGTTCACGGAGGGTTCAGGCAGTAGCTCACCTCCGTCCGGGTAGAGGGCACTGCAGGACCTGGTAAAGATGTGGATTTTGAGATCGTCCCAGGTGCCACAGGAGCGATGACAGTGCCTGCAGATACAAAGCCCTTGTGAGGAGTGTAACCACACGAACTTCGTCTGTGGATCAGCACCCTGCATAGCGGCCGGAAGTTCGAGCAGCATGGAGGAATCCTCCGTGTGTGCCTGGGCCTGTCTTCTATGACGTGCTTTGTCGGGGTCTGCTTGGAGGGGCTCAGGTCCTAGGCGCCGACTGGGCCCGGGGAACCTCCACTTCCTTACCCATAACCTCCTGAGACGGAGGCTCCTGAGTGTGAGCTGCATTTTCATGCACCCGGAGGTAGCGGCAGGTGAGCTCCCTAGGTGCATGGGCCCTTCTGTCCTCCTCTAGGTCTTGCTTTGCTGATCTGACGGGCTGGGTTGAGAGTGATGTCTCTGTGGCATCCAGGGAGTATTGGAAGGATTGGTGAAGGACTTCTAACCAGGAACCTATGTCTGGCCTACTTAGGAAGAATTGCGGCCTCAATTGGGAGTCTTGCTTCTGTTGGCAAAGGACGTACCAGGGGTCATCAACCTTGAGGCGTTGCAGGATCTCAGTTGAGGGGATGTGCCATAGGTGAGCCGGGAACGAGCTATCATGCTGAGCTGCCTATGGACCGCTTGGCGAATGAGTAGTGGCCCCTGCGATGGCAAACCGACACTATGAAGGGAGTACCTAAGTACAGAGAACACACAGACTTTCCATAGCCGGACCTTGGTTCCTAGGCTCAAGGTTCTGGCCTTGAAAATAGAATGCAAGCGCCACAAGCTGCCCCACGCAACATCTAGTCTGTGCCGTAGGTTGAGCAGCTCAAAGCCCTTATAAGCTAGTTTGGCTCCTAGGTAGCGATGTGACGTCACTATCTTGAAGGGGAGTCGCTGCTGACCAACCGGTATGACCAGATGTGACTCATCCTCAATGTAGACGCGGTGCTTGGCGAGAACTGAAGGTGCACTGGTGCCCCCCAATGCAAGCAGTATGACAGTCTTTTCCATACTGAGCTGCAGTCCTACTCTTTGAAGGGTGGCGACCAGTACCCCTATGGCTCGTATGGCCTTTGCCAGAGCTGGGGAGTCTCGAACAATCCAACTACCGAAGAAGTCATCTGCAAAGATGTTGGTGAGGCCTTCTGGGAGGGATTGGCTGCGGAGGTCCTGCTGGAACATGCGGTAAACCCGTCCAGTGATTAGTGCCCAAAGAAGTGGGGACAATGAGCATCCCTGCCTGACTCCCGAGCCTAGGTATAACTCAGCAGTTTCAGCGGATCTCCCGACCTGTAGGCAGGCACGATCATGAAGGTGCATAACCATGCTGATTTCATGTGGCTCGAACCCTGCGTCTAGCATCGACTCTCGGAGAAACCCATGGGGTAAACTATCAAAGGCCTTTTTGATGTCTAGACTTATCGAGAGTCCTCCTACTAGCTTGTGCGGTTGGCCTCCTTGGAACCTCTGCGGAATGGACGTGGAGCCACTGGCGATGAGGTTGCGGACCTGGTATAGGTGTGAGCACACCGATTCCAAGTGGAGCGGCCTCTCAGGTAGGCCCACTGCGGAACTGTTTGTAGGTATCGCTCGATTTGGGGTTCAACTCTTTGAGCCAGCATTATCGCCAATAGTTTGTTGCCTGGATGAAGCAATGCTATCGGCCTCAAATTTTTGGGCTCCCGAACCACGGAAACTTTGGGGATTAGGTGTAACTGTACTTTGTGCCAGTCCTCGTGTAGGGCCGTGGCTTGTAGGTTCATTGCTGGCAAGAGTTTAGTCGTCACCTGATCCGAGGCTAGCTTCCAAAGGCGTGCAGGGGCGAAACCGGCTGGCAACGCTTTATTCGGGCTGAGTGTCGCTAGGGCCTTTTGCAGATCCTCAGGGAAGAAGTGCATGCCATCTATGCGGAGGTAGGGTGGTTATGTCTCGACTATGGTAGACACCCTTCAGGAAATCCGCAATGTGATCAGACTCTGCCTTTCCCGCTAACAGCTGACCATGTTCATTCCTGAGCTGTACTCTCATGGTCCGGGTTTTAGCGGCCAACCGTCTCACAACCGAAAAGATGGTGGAGGGGTATTGAGAGGCCTCTGCCTCTGCTAGCAGCGTCTCCACCTTTTCCCGCTTGCGGTCCCTGCAGGCCTTGCGCAGTTGTTTCTGCAGTCTCGACAATTTTGTCGCCAACATCCAGCCTCGCAGGGCAGAGTAGGTACCAGGCGGCAGGGATCGCTGTCTGCGGAGAGCCCAGAGTTGTCTTACCAGGCCTACCTCTCTGTGTGGGTCCGTGCGAGGAGAGAGTGCAGGCTTGGGGCTGATGTCCTTCCAGGTTTGGAGTATCACTCGGTTCATCACTTGCGCTGGGTCTCCCTGAATGGTGGCCATGGGTGGCATGATCTGATTGAGGCGTATCTGGAAGGTCTCTGCTAGATGAGGTTGTCGCTGCAGTTGGTGCATAACCTCCTTGGCCGTGACGGAGGGGGTTTTGGCAGGGATGTTTTTGGGTGCCTGAGGTCTCGGCAGTGTGGTGAGCAGCAGGAAGTGCCTCATACCTTTATCCGGCACGAACGGTGCGCGGATCGTACGTGCCGCCTTGGCAAGTGGGTCTCCGCGTTGGGCCCGACAGAGAATGAAGTCTATCTGGGTGCGACGTTGTCCCCCTTTGTGATCGAACTGGTACGTATGACTGTAGCTTCTTCTACCCCACGTGTTGAGAGCTATTGCGATGTACAATGAACTGCTGGAATCTGGGCTGATCTTTCTGCCGCGCTTCGCCTGTGAGCGGGACCAGCCCCCTGCCAACGTGGGGTGCCTGATCGTGGCAGGGAGTGTTAAAATCGCCTGCCAGTACCAGCTGGCAACGCCACGGCGTGCCAGGCACTAGTTCGCTGAGACTGGTCCATAGAGTCTCCCTCTCTGCTTCGCACTCTGTTGCACCCTTTGCATCCGACCACACATGTTGGTACGTGCCTATGATACAGATCGCTGGGGAGGTCTCCAGCCTCACCAGGATGAGGCACCCTGGTATGGGTGCCGTTGTCCGTATGGCTGTTGCAGGGACCATGCTCTTATGTATCATGACCAAGATGCCAGCTTTCCGATTATTAAGGCCTGTGTGAATCATGTGGTAGTCGGTTACAGACCACTCTGAGTCAAACGCCCAATGTGTTTCAGTAAGGATGCAGATGTGAATCAAAGTGCCAGCTTGCTGGCAGGCATCGAGCCACGTCTCTATTTCCAACAGTCGAGTGGTACTCAGGCCTCCTGTGTTCCACGTGAGAAGTCGCCACCTGTCTGGGTGTGGCTGAAGTCCTCCAGAACGACCTGGCTGCTTCGCCGGCGGCGACGGGTTGACCCTCTGAGGCACAGATGCTCCTCCAGCTCCCAGTGTTTGGAGGGTGTGTTGGCGCCCACGATATGTTGTGGACCCGTGCTGCTGTGCTCGTTTGAGGGCCCTATGGAAGGATCTTTTAAGTTTTGGTGAGCTTGTCATAAGTAGTCGGGCGGATGGGATGTGAATGCCATTGTTGTGTGGCATCTTCGCGAGGCTTTGCTTGTGAAGCTCTGAATGCTGTTGGCATGGTAAGCTTCAGGGGGACTCGCGACTCCTCCCCCTACCCTCACGTCTGTGGCGGTGCTTGTAGTAGTTGTGAGACTTTGCATGATGAGTATTTTAAGCAACCAACCACCTCGGGACTTGGGACCCGAGCGGCTCTGCGTCTTGTTGTGTCCCGACTTAGAGGCAGGAGTTTCGGGATAGATGGAGGCAACCTCCGTCTTACTGTTGACATGTGGCTCTGTTGATGAGTAGTGTTCTCTATGTGCTCCGTAGATGTTGGATAGACAGGGCAAATCCGGTCGCGCAAGTAACCAGAGAATACGCCTATTGGCATCCCGAACTAATACAGCTCGCCTCCGGAAGAATTTAGTGCCCCAGCAACTGGAGTGCCTGGCCCTGTCGGAGGATCGAGCTGGGACCTCCGCTTCCTGCGATGGTACCTGTACCAAAGACTGGAGCTGGCAGGGTTTTGGTTCTGAGCCGTACTCAACTCCTGAAGCGACACAAGTTTCCTCAGCAGGGCAACGACAGTCCTCTCTCAAGCGACGAAAGCATCGACTGCACCGAAAACTTGCCCTTACAAGCATCTTTGCGCATGCTGTGCTGCGCGGCTGGGGTCTAGCTCCGCCAGAGGACGTCGTCTCAGATGCATTGGCATGATCAACCAGGGCCTGCGGGTGCTCCCCGATCCAACCGAAATCATGCTCCGACTCTAGAGTCAGATTTGTCTCGATCGATGGAGCAGAGACCTCTTCCTCTAGGCTGGACAGGCGGTTGGACAGGTGTGCCGATGATTGTTCAGAGAGATGCGGGGCTCTGCTTGGCTTGGGTGCTTGTCGTCGAAGTGCATTTCCAGCATCCACACTGCGCTTCTTGGTGTGAGACCGCTGTTGCTGCACCTCATGGAGCTGAGGGCACATCGTTGGCAGGAGCATGGACTGCGAGGACATGGTCGTGCCGGGGGTGTCTTCAGGGTTTGTAGGATCTGCGGCGGATGTTCATGGCTCTGTGGAATACGCCGGAGGAGCTGGCCTACTGGAGTGCCCGGTCCTTGGTGCCGACGCCTCCTGAGCCTCTGGGGTGGGTGCTAGCCATTCTTCATCGTCCGACCATGCCGGGTTCGGAATCCGGCTATGCACCTGTGATTCGGAGGACTGCCCTCCGGTGTAAGAGCCAGCCAGGCATCATCATCGGATTTCACCTGCTCATTCTCTCCATTTGGAGATTCATGCAGCCAGGCAGAGTCCGAGGAGGAGTCCATGAGGTTATCAGCCTTCGGTCCCTGAACGATGCAAGCTCTGATGAACCCGTGATGCCATAAGGTCTGAGTGCCTACCCTTCCTCGAAACAGCCCCGGGTCATGTATCGCTACGTAGGGGTTGTGGGGCCAAAAGAGCTGCCTGAAATGCGGAACTGTCGCTGGCAAAATGGAGTCAGAGCTGCCGCAGGTGCTATGCATTACACAGCTTACCCAAAGCAAGACTCCCGAGGACATGCAACGGACAAGCCAGCACACTGGACACCTCCGTGGTGGGTGCCGCAGCCGGCATTCCTGCATCGGATTGCATGGGGAGGTTGAGAGTTCCGAGGGGCTACAGCTGCCACGGTGATGCAGGGAGGCTGTGCAGACAGGAAGTAATGTGGAGACCTGTGCAATCAAGGCTGCAAGCACTGGGCAACAGTGAACCCCAATCCCTCCACCAGCCAACATCGACCGAAAACCTACCATTACTGAAGTAGAGGGCTCAGATGGGATGGGCTGACCGGGTCTATCACCGCTTAGCATGAAACCGCAAAGGCAAGACCCCATGTACTCCAAATCGCTGCCACTGGGGTCAAACTCTTCATATGCTGAAGCCGAAGCCTTGTGCTCCGTCGGAGGGTCAACCTCCTTCCTTCGCTGGCCCTCGGAAGGCACTTCGGCCTCCCTTGGACGTGAGGGATCCACTAGGCGCCAGGACTTCGACCTGGATCTGGGGCGCTCCTTGTTGGCCTTTTTGCTCTTCTTTTAGTCCTTGTCCTTGGCCTTGTCCTTCTTCTTGTGCTTCTTGCTGTTGTCCTTGTCCTTGTCTGTCTGTCTGGACGTCTTGGCAACAGCTGCATGGTCAGTCGGGAAGGGAGTCGCCGCCACGTTCCCCGGGACCGGTGTCGGTGCGAAGGGGCTCTCCAAGGGGCTCACCACCCTTGGTTTCTTTTCCGAAGCTTCTGTCGCCTGTGGTGGTTGCAAAGGCACCTCCTTCGTCTCCGGTGCCGGCCTGCCAGACACAGCCTGCATATGTTGAGCTTGCTCTTGCTCGACTTGGGCTCTTCCGGGTCCTTGCGAGCTCCTCTCACGGCCTTGTCCATCTTGTCATCCTGCTCTCGGGGGCGCTTGCCAGTCAGGTTCGTCTTTGTCTTTGGCTGAGACAGCATTCTGCCCACTGAACCCTTGGGCATGCGCGGCACCCTGAGAGGTGGACTGGCTCCGGGAGTCGTCGTGTCTGCCTTGGAGACCACCTTCTTGGTATCCACGCTGTCCTCTGAAGGGGCCGAGGCCAGATTATCACCAGGGCTCATTGTTGAAGAAGCCTGGCGATCTCGTGCACGAACTTTGGGCTTGGGCGGCATTGTGGGCCTTCGAGGC